TGGGAGTCTAGAAAGTCTGAACTTGAAAATAAGCTTGTTCAGCTCCAGGCTGAACTGCAAAATTCTAAATCCAAAGACAGCAACGTCAAAGATCTTCAGTGTAAGCTTGAATATGTGGAGAAACAGAACTCAAAACTCAAGATTGAGCTTGCTTCGATATCTGAGGAGCTCAAATTAATGACATCTGAGAGAGACTTAAGCACACATGCTGCTGAAACGGCCAGCAAACAACAGCTCGAGAGTATCAAGAAGGTTGCTAACCTTGAAGCAGAATGCCGTATGCTTAAGGCATTCGTTCGGAAAAAATCAACAGTTAACCACCACAAGTCTAGCGCTTGTTCCTCTGCTTATGTTGAACCTTCCACTCACAGTTTATCAAATACTGGAGAACAGTTGTCAATAGTCGAAAATGATCGTCGCAACACGAGTGGTTTGGAGCCAAATAATAATTACCAGAACAGTTCTAGCTTCTTGTCTTCTGCTTTAGTTTCTGAATTGAGTCAATATAATCATGGAAAGCCACATAAAAGAGACCTTATATCGTCGTCTCTAGAGATAAATCTGATGGATGATTTTCTTGAGATGGAGAAGCTTGCAGCACGTCCTGACATCGTGTATGAAAGAAGCAATGGCAGAGGAGAACCCACTTTAAGAACTGAACTTGGAGCCGCGATTAGGCAGGCAGCTGAAGTGGAGAAGTTGGCAAAGATGGAGGTGGAGAAATTGAAACTAGAGATGGAATTAACTCAGTGTCAGGGAGAGCTTACGATATGTAAAGAACAATTAGAAGAAACTATGAACAATTTAATTGAAGTAAGAACTCAGTTATCTATGGAAAATGATGCCAGGAGAAAACTGGAGGCTGAATTCAAGGCTACTATAACCAAGCTTAAAGACTTAACAGAACATGCACAGAAAATGGAGGCTGAGATTATCGAGCTCGAAACAAAGTTATCTATGGCCAATGTAGAAAAGAGTAAGACCGAGGCAGAAGTCAAGTCTACCAATACTATGCTTAAGAATTTAGTTGAACGCTTAGAAGAAACACAGATTGATGTTGTGGAGCTCCAAGGTCAGCTCATTACTGCTAATGAAGCAAAAAGAGCTGCTGAGGCTGAAGTTCAGGCTATGAATGTGAAGCTTAAGAAATTAGAATTTTGCTTGGATGAAACTGAAGTGAAGTGTTTAGGGATTCAAACCCAACTTGAAATGGTGGAAGGAATGAAATCTGGCGTTGAGGCTGAGCTTGAAGCTATCAATGCAAAGAAATATGTGTCAGAGTCACAACTTAAAGCGACTGAATTGGAGCTTCAAACATTGCTTTCTAAAGTTGATTTTCTTCAAGAGGAGCTTTCCGAGGAAAGGGATTTGCACCAAAAAACTGCTGCAAAGTTACAGAAACTAGAAATTGATAATTCAGTGATAAAATCTGCATCCCAGCTTCAGAAAGGAACTATATTCGGGGAATTTACAATCAATAAGGTCAGTTGCCACATATCTTTATAGTTCAACCCCTTGTGTATGTATTTAAAACCTTGAAAATATCTTAGAAGTTCTTACAGATCTCTCTAATCAACTAGCAACGTTTTGGTAATTGCTGACCCTTCATTTCGTAGACTTATTTCTTCTAGAAGAGATTAAAGAATTATAATATTTTTATGATGCAACAGTTGAATAAAAATATGCAGTGCTATTTTAATTCATTCTACAATGTGACAATACATGATTAGTTTAGTATTTGTCCATACATGATTACGGTGAGATATTTGGATGTGCAAAAGAGATGTTTGAAAGTTGAGTGTTGAAGGTGGGGTAAAATGTTATTGAATGCATTACATGCTTTTGCTGCAGTTGATGTTTATAAACATTACATATCCATCTTTTAATATATATATATATATATATGTGCGCATGGTAGGATAAAGAAATGGCAATAGCAGCTAGTCGATTTGCAGAGTGCCAAAAAACAATTGCTTCCATTAATTGGCAATTGAAGTCCCTTGCTATCATGGATGATTTGTTGATCGAGTAGATGAGCTATTACAGATATAATGACATGACATCCTCTTCAGAACTTGCTCTTTTCTGAAGGGAGGATGATTGTCAAAGATAGGGTATTATGCTGTTGAATTTAAGATGGAAGAATTGAATAGCAGAAGAAGAAGTTGCAAAGCTGGAATAGCAAAATCTTTGGTGCCATGTGGTAAGTGCTTAGACATGAACTTATTAGGTAGAACAAAAAATATATATATAGTCATGTGCTGTACTAGTGAGTGTTATGTGCATATTTGAAGTACAAAGGTTCCAAATTCATTGTACACAAGTTCACGAGAAAAAGTATGTGGCTATGTATCATAAAATTAAAATGACTCAAGTCATCCACAGTCATTCAAATTTATCCGCATAATACCTTATTTGTTCAAAAGTCATTTCTATTAAACACAAAATGCTGACATAAAAAAAAAAGAGTGTGTTTCACCCTCCTTAAGCATGTGAAACAAGTTTGAAATAATATTCTTTCTTTTCTTTTAATTTTTCAACTTGTACAACTATTTTATTGTAAAAGATAATTAACAAAAAAAAAAAGAATACGCCGATCTTTTTCCCCGATACGGCAATAGAAAATTTCATCGTCTTTTTACAGCACAGCCCTCCACCTTTCTTTCTTTCTTTCTCCCATTCTTTCTGTTTTTTTTTCTTCTTTCCATTCTTTCATATATATTTTTTAAATTATTACATAGATATCTAAGTCTCAAATTTCCTAGCATAATTCCATTGTTTCTTATGAAAGTAGTATGAATCAATTTTTTCGGGCAAAAATCGTTATTTTTCATATAATTATGATAAATGATTTGTAATGGAAAGAAAATGAAAGGTAATGGATGAAAAGTTCTGATGCGATTCGATTAAAAGGGGAATGAACGTTTAGCTTCAGTGTAACTATAGCATACAAACTAGGATGAAAAGGTAAGGTTCAATTAGTGTCGGCAAAATGAGCTCATATTTTGGTGTCCGCCTAAACCGCCCATATCTTAATGGGGCACACCGCGTGATTCTCCACATGGGCAAATTATGGGTTGATACCCATATTTGACCCATAAAAATATGGATAAACTATGGGTAAAATATGAGTAAAGTATGAATTAGTCAAATGAGTTGAACTTCTAACTTTTATCCACTCAAAATTCATGATATTACTAAAAATAGTGTAACTTTTCTTCCTTTATATGTTATTTTATAGAATTAAATATTCTTCTCTCTAATTGAAAAGGTGAAGTCTTTGACCCTCCAAAAATATATAATTTAAATGTACATTTATTTTGTTAATTATAATTACATTTTATTTATTTATTTATTTATTTAATTTTATAAAAATGACACCCCATACACATTTAAGACGATATATATCAAGTTATAAACATACTCTTTAAAAATAAATTACTTATAGTATATTATTATCGAGTTATAGCATATCAATTAAAAATATATTTAATTAAAAATAAATTATAAGTAATTATGTAAATAATAGTTAATATGTTTAAATATTTTATTTGATCTTTCAGTTACCTTCTTTAAACCAGACTCTTTATATTTTTACAGATTAATATTATAGTTACTTTTTTACAGTTTATAAAATAAATAATAAATTATTATTAATTAAGTTCAAACTTTAGTGTTACATTTTTAAAACAAAACATAAATATTAGGGATTTGATTTTGATTAAATCCCTACTATAAAGTTGTCCAATAACCATCTACTCCCACTACACCCTATACTCATACACCATTCAAACTTACTCTACACGCCTAAATCTTCATCTTCTCCAAATCGTCCTCACTCATCATCTTCACCAGCAATTTTCAAATCGCCCTCACTCATCATCTTCCCCATAACGACTGAGTCATCCCCATTCCCATCACAGATTTGTTTCATTCCACACCATCTTCATAAATTACTTTAATTTTTCTTATGTTCGTAAAGAATGTAGATGAAAGCCAATAGAACATCAATTAAAAGTAGAAAATTGGTTAAGGAGTCATCATCTGATGACTTTCATGCTCCTTCATTCAATATTTTGCCCAAACTCAACCGTAAAAATCAATTGGAAAACAGACTGCCAGTTCTGATAATCGAAGACTGAAAAAAATAATTAAAAAAAAAGATGCAAAGGAAAGAGGGAAGAAGAAGAAGGGAAAAGAAATTCAAACATCGCCAGAATCAGATTCTGACTTTGTTAACGAATCAAAAAATAAAAAGTCAAAAGGTATTGAAATTGGTCGATCGACAAGAATGTCCTCAAAGAAGGATTCAGAGATACAACGCACAAAGAAATCCAAAAAAGTTATCAAGGTTAATAAAAAGATTATTTTAAATTTTGGTTATATTATTATACATAAGTGAGTTTGATTTTTTATTTTATTTGGCAATCGTATGATATATGAAATTTGTATGAATTGATATTTTTGTATGTATATGAGTTTATTCATTATTTTTGTTGAAAATTGTTTTTATGTATGAATATTATATGAGTTATGTATTAATCGTGTATGAATTGAATTTTCACTGTTATATGCGAACACTTTGAATTTCATAGTTATATCATATAATTTTGACTATTATAATACGTATTACCACTGTATATTTTACGTTTTGATTTTGATCCATGAATTGATGTATTGGTATTGTATGAGTTTTATTTTGTAGTTTAAAAGTCACAGATTAATTTTTTTTTTAAAAAATCTAATATGTATTAAAATTGTATGAATTATGTATGAACTGATGTATTAGTTTGTATGATTTTTGTATGAATTGAATTAACTGTCCATTAATATGATAGTGTATATTTTATGTTTTGATTTTGATATATGAATTGATATATTGATACTGTATGAGTTTTATTTTGTAGTTTAAGTCACGGATTAATTTTAAAAAATATATAATATATATTAATATTGTATGAATTATGTATGTACTGATGTATTAGTTTGTATGATTTGAATTGTCTGTCAATTAATAGGGCAGTGTATCTATGATTTTTCTATGAAATTATATATTATGTTAAAAGTATTGATTTAGTTTTACCAATTTTATAGGAGAAGAAGGTACAAACACATTTGTCTTCATATATCAACATGAATGTGTTCGCTGATCTGTTGATCTTCCTTGGTCAAAATGTGTTCCAACAATTTTTACAAGAAATACCATTTGAATTTTTTTATGATTTACATAACATAAAAATTCAATGTCAATTGTTGCGCCATATTTTTCTTCTTGAAAATGAAAATAATAGAGATGACATGTTCTTATCAACATAAATAGTACAGAGTAACACTTTGGATTAAATGAATTTATCGCTATAACCGGTCTGAAATTTGGATCGATTTTTTATTTTGTTTCTGATTCGTCTATTCCAAATAGACTTATCGCATAAAATTTTGGGGATATGGACAAAGTCCCCAAGTCAAATTTTTACCACATGTTTAGATTGAAAAACTTTAGGGAAGAGGATGACCTTTTAAAAATCAAAATTCTGTACTTCATTTCATCATTTCTGACTGCTTCAGACCCTTCAAAACAACAATTTTCAAATTATATTTTGATTTAGTTGAGTCTTGCCAGTATGCCACATTTTCATGGGGAAATGAGTATTTTAATTTAACACTTAAAGCGTGCAGTCATAAGTTGAAAAAAATTCTTCGTCATTCAAGTTCAGCTTGTTCCATATAGCCTTGCAGGTATGGTTTTATGAGTGTTATCATCAATTTGACAACACAATTGCTATCCATGCTTTAGATCGCACACTGCATATCCCGAACTAGAAGACAACAAATGACGTTATTTTTTTTATGATTTGAAGAAAACGACATTCATAACCCATGAAAATCAGGTAACTTTTTATTGAATGTTATTAAAGTAATTATTTATTCTCATATTTTTCTTTTATGCAGTGTAACGACCTGTTTAGTCGTTTTGAGCAGTTAAGTTTATTTCTGGTAATAACTGTCTGAGTCGACAGATCCCACGACGGACCGTCGAGGGTGTCTCGTTCCAAAACACATAGACTCTGGAAAAATTGGGTACTGAGAACAACTCTCTGAACTTCGCGACGGAAGAGCAGGACGGACCGTCGTAGGCACGACGGACCGTCGCAGACTCTTTAATGAATTGAGTCTCTGTACTTTGTGACGGAAGAAGCAGGACGGACCGTCGCAAGCACGACGGGCCATCACAGGCTGCGTAACCCTGACTGGGTCGGATTTCTGTTAAATGTCTTAAGGGGCATTTTGGACTATTCGTGCTTGTAATTATAAAGTTAGTGGTTTAATGTTAATAATTCAATTACTTGGGGGTTAAAGGAGACAACCTTGGAATAAATAGTGGGTTACTTTTACCATCTTTTATACTTAATTATATGGTAATTAGGGTAAAAGAAAAAGAGTTAGAATAAGGAAAAATAGAAAGAACAGAGAAAAGAGGGGAGAATGAACGAACGAGAGAGGGAGAAATGAAGAGGAAAGCAAAGCATTGGAAAAGTAGATTTCTTGATCACGATTCTTCGGTGGAGGTAGGTTATGGTTTATGCTTTTCCATAGTAAACTCTTAATAGCGAATGATATGTGCTGGGTAGTATTGTAAAGTCTCCTATATGCTTAATTGTGTGCTTGCATAATGTAATTATGTAATTGTGATGAATTAGCATGATGAGGCTGTTGAATCTTAAACCTTAAAAACCTCCTTGATAATGATGATGCCTTGGTATAAAAGAAGGCTTGATGAACTAAAAGAATGAGGTTAATGGATCGGGTGTCACGTTCCGACACCAGGATAGTAGTAGTAGATCGGGTATCACGTTCCGACACTAGGATAGTATTAGTGGATCGAGTGTCACGTTCCGACACCAGGATAGTAGTAGTGGATCGGGTGTCACGTTCTGGCACCAGGATAGTATTAGTGGATCGGGTGTCACGTTCCGACACCAGGATAGTAGTAGTGGATCGGGTGTCACATTCCGACACCAGGATAGTAGAGGATCAGAGTGTCACGTTCCGACACCAGGATAGTATGAGGAGGATCGGAGTGTCACGTTCCGACACTAGGTTAGTAAAAAGAATGAATCTTGAATTATGTTAATATACTCAATTTAAAGAACCTAATTCCTAAATGAGTATGGTATGGAGGCTTGAGTCCTCATAGATGTGCTTGGGTTGTGGCAAATGGTTATGGTACTTGTTGTTGTCACCTGTTAAGTGTGGGTGCCACTCACGACTCGTTTTGGGTCGTGACAAACTTAGTATCAGAGCATTAGGTTTGTTGGTCTCATCACAGAAGAACGAGTCTAGTAGAGTCTTGAGGAACGGTAGGGGGACGCCTTTACTTTTCTTTGAGAGGCTATAAGACTTTAGGAAAATTCCATTCTTTCTTTCTTTCGTGCTATTACTTGGATCCAATTGGTATCTAGGTGATACAAATTGGTATCTGACCATCTTCACTTTATTTCGCAGATGGATAGAACTAGAGCAACAACTGCGCCAACACCAACACCGGCAAGACAAGATGCGTCTAAGACAGCCACTGGGGCTGTAGCTCGAAGAGGAGCAGTGGCAAGAGGCCGTGGTAGAGGTCGCGGGAGGACGTCCTCTAGGGGAAGAGGACAAGCACCTGGCCAGTCTAGTGCTAGGGCGGTGACTCCTCCACCGACCGAGGAAGTATTAAGAGAGGGTGAGGAAGGGGAGAATGAACAAGTACAGAGTGAGGAATTACCCCCCCCCCCAACCTACCCCAGAGATGATTAATCAGGTTCTTGCTTATCGTAGCGGGTTATCTGATCAAGGCCAGACACCTCCAGTGTTTTCTGCACCAGCACCTCAGGTTCCGGGAGTACAACATGCAGCTGCTGTGGCTCCCCGCATGGATGCCTCATTGGAAATAGGCACGTTTCCTCGGTTGACTACAGGGCCTATAATGACAAGCGGCCAGCATGAACTTTTCAGTAAGTTCTTGAAGTTGAAACCTCCAGTTTTCAAGGGTGCTGAATCTGAGGATGCCTATGACTTTCTGGTTGATTGTCATGAGTTGCTACATAAGATGAGCATAGTGGAACGATTCGGTGTTGAGTTTGTAACCTATTAGTTTCAGGTAAATGCCAAAATGTGGTGGCGATTGTATGTTGAGTGTCAACCATCACAGGCACCACCTATGACTTGGGCATCATTCTCTAGCTTGTTTATGGAGAAGTATATACCCCGGACTTTGAGGGATAGGAGGAGAGATGAGTTCCTGAGCCTAGAGCAAGGCACGATGTCGGTTACTGCATATGAGGCTAAGTTTCGTGCATTATCTAGGTATGCCACCCAGCTTTACTTCAGTCCACAAGAGCGGATTCTCCGTTTTGTGAAGGGATTGAGGTCAGATTTGCAGACTCCAGCCTTACAGGTATCTACTGCAGCAAAATCCTTTCAGGAAGTGGTAGACTTTGTGATAGAGGAGGAGGGAGTGAAGCCAGATGACTTCACCATGGCATCAGCAACTAAGAAGTTTCGCAAGGGAGGTGAGTTTAATGGTTCTTACTCCAGAGGACAGGGTGCAGGAGGTTACCCAGCCCGACCTATTCAGTCTTCACTGGTTGATTGTCATGAGCTGCTACATAAGATGGACATAGTAGAACGGTTCGGCGTTAAGTTTGTGACCTATCAGTTTCAAGGAAATGCCAAAATGTGGTGGCGATTGTATGTTGAGTGTCAACCAGCACAGGCACCACCTATGACTTGGGCATCATTCTCTAGCCTATTTATGGAGAAGTATATACCCCGGAATTTGAGGGATAGGAGGAGAGATGAGTTCCTGAGCCTAGAGCAAGGCAGGATGTCAGTTACTGCTTATGAGGCTAAGTTTCGTGCATTATCCAGGTATGCCACCCAGCTTTGCTTCAGTCCACAAGAGCGGATTCGGCGTTTTGTGAAGGGATTGAGGTCAGATTTGTAGATCCCAGCCTTACAGGTAGCTGCTGCAGCAAAATCCTTTCAGGAAGTGGTAGATTTTGTGATAGAGGTGGAGGGGGTGAAGCGAGATGACTTCACTATGGCATCGTCATCTAAGAAGTTTCGTAAGGGAGGTGAGTTTAGTGGTTCTTACTCCAGAGGGCAGAGTTCAGGAGGTTACTCAGCTCGACCAATTCAGTCTTCACTACAGGCTGTAGCTGGGGGTCCACCGCAGACCGGTCAACATTTCTCTGAATTTGGAGGTTATCCCCAGACTCCGCCGTTCTCACAGAGACCTATGCTTGAACCCATAGAGTGTTATGGATGTGGGGAAATTGGACATATTAAGAGATATTGTCCAAAACAGAGTTACATACCCCCAATAGTCAGAGGTAGAGGTGGTCATGGAAGAGGCCGCTATTCCGGAGAACGTGGTGGCCGAGGTAATGGTGGTCACCAAATCAACCGGGGCGGCGGGCAAACTGGAACTTCTGCAGCACAACATGGTAGGGGCAACGGACAGACAGGTGACAGGGCCCATTTTTATGCTTTCCCTGGGAGATCTGAAGCGGAGACATCTGATGCTGTCATCACAGGTAATCTTTTGGTTTGTGATTGCATGGCTTCTGTATTGTTTGATCCTGGATCCACATTTTCTTATGTATCTTCCTCATTTGCTACTGGTTTTGATTTACATTGTGATTTTCTTGACATGCTATTCGTGTTTCTACTCCGGTGGGTGAGTTTGTGATAGTTGAAAAGGTGTATAGGTCTTGTCTTATGACTTTTGTGGGGAGCAATACTCATGTAGACTTGGTTATCCTAGAAATGGTTGACTTCGATGTAATTCTGGGTATGACTTGGCTTTCTCTAAATTTTGCAATCTTAGATTGTAATGATAAAACTGTAACGTTGGCCAAGCCTGGGACAGATCCGTTAGTGTGGGAGGGTGACTACACTTCCACTCCAGTTCGTATTATCTCCTTTCTTCGTGCTAAAAGAATGGTTAGTAAGGGTTGTTTAGCTTTCTTGGCACACCTCAGGGATGATACTACTCAAGTACCTTCAATTGAGTCGGTTTCGATAGTCCGCGAGTTTCTGGATGTGTTTCCTGCAGACCTTCCTGGTATGCCAGCGGATAGAGATATTGATTTCTGTATTGATCTGGAGCCGGGTACTCGCCCCATTTCCATACCCCCTTATAGGATGGCTTCCGCTGAGTTAAGAGAGTTAAAGGCCCAACTTCAAGAGTTGTTAAGCAAAGGCTTTATTAGACCAAGTGCATCCCCTTGGGGTACTCCAGTTTTGTTTGTGAAGAAGAAGGATGGAAGTTTTCGGATGTGCATAGACTACAAACAACTGAATAAGGTAACTATTAAGAACAGGTATCCTCTTCCTCGCATCGATGATTTGTTCGATCAGTTACAAGGTGCTTGTACCTTCTCAAAAATTGATTTGAGATCTGGTTATCATCAATTGAAAATACGGGCAACGGATGTGCCAAAGACTGCTTTTCAAACCAGGTATGGACATTATGAGTTCTTAGTAATGTCTTTTGGACTTACGAATGCCCCTGCTACTTTCATGAGCTTGATGAATGGAATTTTTAAGCCATATCTGGACCTCTTTGTCATTGTATTCATCGATGATATACTGGTATACTCAAAGAGCAGGAAAGAACATGAGGAGCACTTGAGAATTTTATTGGAAATGTTGAGGGAGAAAAAGCTTTATGCCAAATTCTCCAAGTGTGAGTTTTGGCTAGATTCAA